CTGACTCAAAAGCACATAACAACAACAACAAATATATATATGTATATGTATACGTGTATACATATACATATATAGATATATATATATATGTATATATATATATCTATATATGTATATATATGTAATTTGCTTTGAAATATATAATTCTGCATAATTTTGGTAATACAACACAGGCATAGTGGAAGGTCAACTCCTATAATATCAAAATTGTAAAAGATACATATACACAAATACCCATGAAATTCAAGGAAGGAATTTTAATTTAAATTAATATTCTATTATCTTACAATCATTTTTTGACTTTTTTTTTAAGATTTCAGTGCATGATTTTTTTTCTTTTTTAATTTTGATTTATGTGAAACTTTAATCAGCAAATTCATTTTTCCTCCAACAGCTCATACACATTTTGTTTCATAACTTTGATTGCAATCCCAAAAATTGAAAAGCTCTCTTCCCACTTCCTTCCTGTGGTTGGTTACTTTTTCCTTGTGTCCTCCTTTCCTGTGCATCTCTGCCCTATGAGATATTTCCCTATGCAAATACTGCCCTTCTGATCTCTCATGGTTGATTATTTTAAGTAGTTTACCTACTTGGCGTAAATGTTCACCTTATACTCCCATCTGTTTTTTGGCTGGAAGCCATGGATACGTGTTCAAGTCCATTCCCAAAAGATGTCTAGGCTCTGCGCTTTTCACTAGTCCCTTTCAGACTAGTAAACCTGTTTTTTTTTAATGATTTTGAGTTTTGTTCCACATTTTTCTCCCACTCTATCCAGGAGCTCTGCACTGATCTCTTTCTGAGTGGTTGAGAGTGATTCTAGTTCTTCTTGTCTGAGGGTCGTGTAGGCTGAGGATCACATGGTCCACTAGTACCTTGAATTAATTGTTTCCATGTATCTTTGACTTTCTTCATTCTTCTTTGCTCTTCTTTGTTGTATGTTAGATGGCTATTTGCAAGTTTTTAAGCACCCTGTTGCTACTCACCAAAGTAGCATGTGGAGCAAAGTTTTGTATAGTATGTTATGAGCTTGATGTCCCCCATGACTATCATCCCTAGACCATGGAACTAGGTGACTCACACCCGCTGGGTGTATGTCTGTGGCTAAGAAGTTATCATAGCTTTGCCCTGTTAGCATCATTATATATATGGACATTCTCATAGCACATACAAATATGTATACAGAAATATCATCTGCCAAATTCATATATGATCATTTGTATATTCTCTTTCACCAATACTTACCTATTCATTTAGCCTGTCTACCTGTGTATCCACCTCTGGATTAATGTTTGCTATTACTGATAATTCAGATTATGTATGTAATAGTTTTTATTTTGTTGTCTCTACCTCTTGTGCACCTCTCTCTGTCATCGTTTACCTTAGTATCATTGTGTTGGTCATTCTCTTTTGGTATATTACTTTTCCTTTCACCCAAATAAATATTAGCTCTTGCCTGTCTGGCAATTGATTTAATATTAAACATTTGAAAATACAATGCAGATAAATGTGTAGATTCTTTGATAATCATCAATAAAATCCCTTATTATATCAAATTAAGACTTCTATGGCACAGCACCAAACAATATGTTTGTTGTTGTTCATAATGTTGCCTTGAGTCTCAGCTGATTGAAGGCAACACACTCCACAAACAACAGTGAATATAATCAGAGAAACTGGGGTGAAATACAGTAAAAAATAATTTGATATAGAATTCTAGAACTTATTTAAACCTGAGAGAAAGCCATTCTACCAACCATAGATTAAAAAAAAATTAATTCTGTGGAATTTAATTACATATGTAGTAATATAACAATGACTCTTAGTTTATAATGAGAAAGAAAAGTTAACGTTTTAGAATTTTATTTCATTCCCACTACTTCATATTCAACCTATCGTTTCCACAAAATTTTTTCTCTTGCACCTAGTACAGGATGAAGAATTTTAGTGACACTAACATGTTTCTTCTGCCCATTTTTAAGTTGGATTGTTTTTCTTTTAGATGTTGAGGTGTTGTAGTTTTCTATAAATTTTAGACATAAGGCTTTGGCTGACATGTCATTGTGGAATATTTTTTACTCCATGTGCAGATTCTCTTTTTTACTCTTTTGGAGAAGTATTTGGATGTACACAAAATCATCTAGTTTATTTTCTGATGTTTGTGCATACTGGGTTATGCTTGAAAGTCTATTTAAGCTATAAATTGGGGCCCATAACTTTGTCCCTATTTCCCTTTGGTGAACTTCATAGTTTTAGCTCTCACATTTAAGATTTTGATCCACCTGGAATTAGTTTTTGTGTATGGTATAAAGTATGGATCTTGTTTCACTTTTCTGCAAATGGATAAACAGTTTTATCAGCATCATTTATTAAAGAGACTATCTTTCCTATCTCTTGCTTTCTTCATGGATAATGTTCTTGATATCTTCCCACAATTCATCTGGCTTTCGGTCA